CGTAAAACACGTTTCCCAAATTTTGTATTAAAACTCAAACTTTTGAGAGAATTTTCGTGACCGTGATCGAAAAAAAAGTAGTGACGCCGATCTTTAGACTCAATTTCTCCGATCTGACTCGAGATCAAGTATGGTTTTCGTGATCTAGCCCGAGCCGGATACTGGTACTGAGGTCACCGATAAAAGTAGAAAATAAAAACTAATCCTATATGAAAATGACGATCGGCTTTTGTTTTAGTGGATAAGCAAACCAAGTGACAACTTCTCGTACTACGATGGTTATTTTGCCGACTTTTTGAAAGAAACTCAACATATGCAATGGAGTCAGATACGTACGCTGACAATATCGGTTAGTCATATTATTGATGATCCATATACTGTTCGTCGTCTATGTCATCTTTTTCCATGTATTGAACGATTGAATGTGTCGATTAGACATGTAGAAATTTTGATTGCATTTATCGATGCTTTTCAATATTTGCTAAATGTATCATTCTACTTCGAGTTTTCATCTGAACATGGTAGAAGTAAATTATTACTTCATGATGGTCTACAATTGATAAAGGATGAGTTTACTTATTGTTTGAATGGTTTTACTGTTCATATGTGGATGAAAAAGAAAGTGAGTGACTAACGAAAAGAATTTTATATTGTTTCATTGTTTATCGTTCAGCCGAGAATAGCGAATTCAAATTCTAATTATCTACGGCAACGAGAATACATTTGGCATCGTATTCGATTCATGTTAACTCAACGTTCGTTATTTTCTTTGATCATATCGTTCATATTGATCTATTGTTTAACAAATATTTCATTGAGCATATGGATTTACATGGTTCCGACTTTCATTTTAGGTCGTGATAAAGCCTTTTACGCCTTGAATTCGCCAATGTTCTACGCAATGAGTACAATTTGTCCAAAACTTTTTAAAAAATATGATCATATGTCAGTCTATTTATTTGGTTATATCTGTGTCTTGATATTTAATGTTGTGGCCTACATCCTATCCAACCATTGGCATTTGATATTTGCCAATGAGGTAAGTCTTGAGTCTGTCCTAGAATTAGATAGATATGGTCAACAAACATATTGATTCGAAAAATAAACAGATGTATCAATTCCTATTTGTTTGTCGAGATTCAAAAGTTCGCTGTTCATATCAACTTTTTTTGTACAATATACATTCATGAATTTTTAGATAAATGACAAATTTTACAATGACAATCCACTTCGATTCTTATTGGCAAATAACAACGGTGGCCTTTTAGTCGTTATAGGAAGTTTGTATTGTTCATTGAGCAAGGACAACATGTATATGTACTATATATGGACATTCGGTCTTCTTGTTTTTTGTATCATTGGTTTTTGTGTTTGTCTAATGAAGATGTTTCTTATCAATTTCATATTATAAATAAACACGTGTATAGTTTTTTGTGTTGGTCTGTTTCATATCAACGATGAAAATGTTGTTATGATCAGGTTTCAAATCGAGTTCGATACAACTCGCTCGAACCGATGATATTGATGCTTTGCTAGTGTTCCAAAACGAGTATGAGAAGTCTTTCGTCTTTGTGTGGGGAATTCTTTTATTTAGAAATCATTGATGAATTATATGGATTTAATACTTTTTGTGAAATATGATCTAAAATGAGTGTTGATGCATAAGGATAGGAAAACTGGATCTCCTCTTCCCTCTCCTCAGACCATGACAAACATGGTAACAAAATTGGAGTTCATTGCGAAATTAATATTAAAGACAATTAAATTTCTAACGTCCGTCTGTCGTCCTTCTTCACACTCATGGTAACAGTATATGATTTATTGTTAAATTTGCATAAAATAAATTTCATGTTTTTACACAAGAAGAATTATAAATAAACGTGTAATCTGTCAGTTAATGAGAAAAAGAGTAATGTTATCCGATGACAGATGCATATTTTTATTCTTGTCAAATAAAAGTCTATTTATGGGTGTAAGTGTGGGTGTGGGTGTGGGGTGTGGGTGGGTGGGCGTGGGTGTGGGGTGTGGGTGTGGGTGTGGGTGTGGGGTGTGGGTGTGTGGGTGCGGGTGTTAGGTGTGGGTGGAGTGTTGGGCTGTGTATGGATATTCATCTAATCCGTAAAAATATGTAAGCCCACATACAAGGCAATCCAGACACTCACACTCCACAATACACTCCTACACCCACACCCCACACACTCACACCCACACCAGACCCTTTGTTCATATCCGTTTCGCCGAGCATTCAGTCAAAAATTGTCCCATGAGGAAGACTGATGTCGCATATCTTTGATTGAACTCATCGTTCACTAAATCTCAACAAGAGACAAGCAAACAATCTTTTCCTTTCGACAAGATGAACATCAATATTCTTCGGTCTTTTGAGAAAACTGAATTGAATGAAAGATAGGAAAAAAGAAAACGTATTTGTTCGTATCCTTGATTCTCATCGAAAATGGGAGGTATAAGCTGTAATATGTATTAGAATTGATCGAAATTAACTATAATCTGCGCTCAAGTCTACGTCGAAAATCGCCACTTTTAAGTCTACTTTTTTGACAAAAAGAAAAGAAACGATGTCTTCATGCACTACAATCAATTTATTTATTAAGAATCAAAGCAGCTATTCCACCTTCTAGCCTGACCATTATTAGTCAACGTGTAACTTCTATTAGGAGATCGATGATTTTCGACAAGAAGTTGCTCACGCATATGAACACGATGAGTAATGAGTTTTAATCTAATTTAGAAGGGCTGAAAACAAGATTTTGTTCAATAGTTTAGATATAGCTCAACTTCGCAAATAAAAACAAAGACTATAGATATTTATCGATCTTAACATTCATAAATAATTACAACAACACAGGATAGTGGCTAGTCAACATTGATTTCAGTTGGATTTGGAGAAATTTTCTAACTGTTCTTCCAAACATACTATCAATTCTTAACAGGTTACTTATTATTTACAAAAACTAGTGGTTTGTTTTGTCTTCACAAGACTTACAATAGACAAATCTAATAGATTAGAATTTCAGAAATATTTCAACGTGGAATTCTCACATTCATTCAATCAATTGATCAGTTCCATTTTGCTTGAACTATTGTCTTATAGATAATAAGGAGTCTATCAGTAATGCACATAACGTGTGCTAGGAAGTACGATGATATATAAATACGCCATACATTGCTTTTTAGACAAACGCAATTTAAAACTTTCTAGAAGGTGTTATTTCTTGATATTCTACTCTTTTAGGCTTACCTTCTATCGTATGGCAGTTAACTTCAAAATAAGAAATACAATAAAACTACTTAAATACGCATAACACACTTAAGATTTTCATGTTTCTTATATAGACTATACCAGCATTCAGTCATATATACGTGAGTAGGTTAGTTTTTGTTTGCTTTGCTCTGTTGATATATAAACACATCGAAGTCAGGAACACGCGCGTAAATCCTTCACTTCCTCAGTAATTTAAAAAAAAATGGTTATCTCATCCACATTCAAATAAACAAGTCATGATAACAAACATTAATGTCTCTTTGTCTATTTCTTGCATCAATACTTATTGTACAGCAACAGTTGACAAAATCCAACCCATTGAAGATGACGACAATTTTCAAGATAAGCAATTAGTCATATTTTACAGGTTCCAATGAGAAAGTCTTTTTTACGATTAAATAAAGTCGTCTTGATATTCATTACTACTACGACTTTCCAAAACATTGAATTTTCAAAACATGGTGTAAGCAGTTAATAAAATGATGCATGCCTTTAGAATTTGTCTACTTTAAATTGAAATGTAAAGATGCGAGGAGAATATTGACATTTTCATTAAATTTTAATTGAGCAAAGCAACTTTTTTTTGTATACGAAACTTTCTTTATTCAGTAAATTAGTAGCAGTTTTTGTGTGTGCCTTGTCTTTCGTACAAAACCTTGCTAAATTAGCTTATCCTTATTCGTAGTTTACAGAATGTTGATTGCACGGACAAGTATAATAGTAAAATTAATCGCGATCATTATTATGTAATCAAAATCGCGGTTCTTCTAATACAGGATGGCTTATAAATAACACTACGATTGCATTTAAAGTTTTCTTTTTTTTTTATACGGACAAGGTAAGCAAGCATTGCTCTTAAGTATCTGTTTTTTTTATCATGAAAGAAATTTTATCTGTCATCAAGTAAGAAAATACAGGTGTAGCTTTTCTTAGATAGTTTTGAGTTGAGACTTAGTAGAATAGAAAGAACAAACCGAAACGAACTTTACGAACGAATCTCCATTGATGCACATAGAGCAAGTTTTCAAAACTAGTCAGTTTGAATGCTCATACTCATACCATCAAAAATAAAATATATAATTGTGCAGACTGATGAATAGCAAAACATGAACTTTCTAGCAAACAAAAAACAGTGTTTCATGTTTGAAAACTCGAAACTGTGTAAGTGTGGGTGAAGGGTGTTGATTGGAAGAAGGCTCATATGCATACGCACACTCTCTTTGGTTCTTATTGATCAAAAGAAATTCTCTTTTAACTGTCAATGTAATTATTGTTTTCTCTTACGTATAAGAGAAGAAGAGATATTTCACTAACAGTTGAGGTAGAAGATTGCTTTTAGTTCAATTAGTTCCCAAAAAACAACTTTCAGTCCTGAAAATATTGAATTGTCTATGTTGTATAAAAGGTAAAGAATAAAACAAAAATAGAAAAAGCATTCTGTTAATCACATATAAATCAGAAAAATTAAACTTTATTTGAGGAAAATATTTTCAGTGTTTATTGTAGAAGACAAACACATGATTTTTGCAGTTTTAAGCAGCTGAATACTGATTTTTTTGGATCAATTTTGCTAAATTGACAGAGAATTTCACAGTCATAATCTAAAAAATGTTGTACACTTAAGTCACATATATAGATCAGCAGTCATCTTACCATAACAAAGGCCACCATAACAAAGACGATCCACAAAACTATAATAAGTGCATATGGTTGACCGTTAACTCCAAACACAGCACTGATTGCGATAATCGCTAAGATTATATAACCAAATAAAATACATATTACTATAAATATAATCACGCCAAGAGATGCAAACTAAAAGTCAAGAAAAAAAATAGAAAAAAAAATATCAAAGAACATAAAATAACCTACGATAAGTAATCCAATTCGATGTTGCTGATATGTGATGACAAGACCAAATATATAATAAATAACTAAAGTCATCACTAATACCAAAAATTTACTTTCAACTGAAACATTATTAGAATTTGAAACTAATATTGCATAAGATCCAAAAACAAAAGTAACAATGCATGTAAACTAAATAAATATTGATTTTTATGAAGTATTTTTATAGAACATTCTATTGAACTTACCCATTGTATGACAAGAAGAATAAGAAGATAGTTCTTTATACGAATTATATTCTGAATATGATCAGGAGATGATTGATCAAGTTTTTCCTTTTCAACCATGGGTAATGTCTTATCTGTTTCAAGCAGCATATTGAAACGAAGGTTTGTATGATATGTAATTGATTATGTTTTCAAAAACAGAAAAAGAAACATCACATCGTACTTTCTTTTTATCGATTCATGTAACAGCTGTCATCAACATTAGCTCATTTCTATTTTATATTTAGCAAAACTTAACCAATGTCTCCTATTGATCTATTTTCTATATGAAATAGAATATTTAATGAGTAAAAGTGAAAATTAATTAAATCATTTGGTTGATGAACATACATGAAGCAATCACGTCTATGTATAAAATGTATTGAGTTTACCAGTTTATACTACTATATCTATGTATTATATATATACAGTGTACAGAATAATAAATTGCTATCGTTGACAAATCATGAAAATTCAAGAATAGAACATAAGTTCGTCTTTTTGCCTGATAGTGGATTTAGCATGTTTCTTTTATATATATATAATAATCTTTAATGGATAGAAGTATTTCTTCATAAAACATTTTGTCTAAAGACACACTTAGAAAAAATGATTTTTTGAGCTAGACATATGAACATCGTTGAAGTCGTCTATTGTTTGAACTGATGCAAATACTTTTAATTTTCAAAAATTTTATGAATGACTTTTAAGATGTTCAAAGACTTAAGAATGTGGGTATGGATTACTCATCTATTCAGTTTGATGCATATATCTTTGAATCATAAAGTCGACATGCACATCTTTGTTCTTTTTGATATAAGTGCTTTTTGATGAAAGTTGTTCGTTGCACTCTTTCTCATACGCGGAAAAGATTTACTTTAGATTCATTTGAGTACAAAATAATCGTTGTTGACATGATTAACAATGGAGTCAAAATGTTCTCTTTTTTTTGTCGAATTTAACGGTCTTATCTATGCTGAAGACCATAATGATGATGATTGATTACATCATTTCAATTGTAGATGGATATATGGCACTATACATGATTAAGTGGTGGCCATTGAAAACTATCAAGAAAATGAAATCGGCATTATAGATAAAAAGATGAAATGCATCCATAAATTAGTATGTCTTGTCTCTAGACATCCGTATCATAATTATTTTACATCTATATGGTAGTGTGATAACTGAAAACATTTTGAAATGATATTTGTAGCATTCTTTTGCAAGATGAATGCAAGTTGTTTGACGAGTCATTCGTCAATGCTCAACGTAATTCATAAAAAAACACTACCTAAAACAGACGCATCATAAGAGCCAACAGTATATGAATCATCAAGTAGTTCATTGCTTCTATTAATGAATGAAATACTAACACTTAATCCAAACACAAAAATGAAAAATATATAGAATAGCATGGTAGTTGTATACCATTTCATATCTAGTTTATTTAATGTTGACAAATGTGTATTCGAGAAACAAGTGTTTTTGATTGAGATATTAAATACAAGTTTTTTTATGACGAACATTGACCCATTGTTTCATTTTCATATGACAAAAACCTCAAGTTCGAGTTATCTTCGAAACTGGATTTTTTGAAGTGGCGGCGAGAAGTAAGGAGGAAAGAAGGCCTAAAACAATCCGTGATATCAACGGTCGTTAAATGCAATCTGCTATTTTTTATGAATAACATTAGTAACACGTAGAAACAGTTTATTATCTTCGACTTGAATTACAAGATCTTCTAAAGGGTGATCAGAAAGTTTCGTCCCTTGCCAGTAAATCGATGATATCTACAACAAGCTTCTATGAAGTTATTGATCAAATTATGTCATTTTGTAGAGAAAGGTTAGAGCTATATTCTGAAAAAAAAGATAGTTCAAAATACATAAATTCAAAACAATGTTATGGTCATTTTACTAATCTTAAGTGAAAATTTTTACGTTACATTTTTTGAAAAATTTAAAAAAATCTCGAATGTTTGAGTCCTTAAAGTCGAGCGAAATATTATATTCTACATGTTTTTAATAGATACTTTTATATGATTCGATAGAGTTCGATAAACTCTACAAGAATATAAATATCAAGAATCATTCGAATTCTGTTTTCAATGTAAAACTGTGAAGAAACCACGCAGATCAATGAAAATCTCGCATATGTTGCATGAGATAGTATGCTTAACTTTCAATAACTTTATTGGATCGATTGTTAATTGATGTTTCGAGATGCAGCGTGATAAGCTGCAGCTGAAAATAACACTTCAGAGTTACATGAGCAGGTGAAACACTCAACCAGCTGAAGCTATTCAAAGCTCAGTTTACTCTTGGGAATATTTGATACATGAAATTTTTATTAGTCTTTCTGGTTTCCTTCAGGTTTTATATTGAAAATAAGATCAGATTTTTTTTTAAATATTCATATTCTCGTAGAATTTGTCGAACTCTATCGAACAATATAAAAATATCTAGAAAACAATATGTCACTTAGGGTGTTAAAAGCAATTTTTGTTTTTGAAAAAAATGTAACGTAAAAATTTTCACTTAAGATTAGTCAAATGACCATAACATTGTTATGAATTTATGTATTTTGAACTATCTTTTTTTCAGAATATAGCTCTAACCTTTCTCTACAAAATGACATAATTTGATCAATAACTTCATAGAAGCTTGTTGTAGATATCATCGATTTACTGGCAAGGGTCGAAACTTTTTTTTTTTTAATATTCATAATTTATTGTGCCATAATTAGGTTCACAGGAGAAAAGAGAAAAAAATGACATCAGCAAGAAAAAAGTAGTAAATTATTAGATATATCACGATGTCAATCACACCTCCAAATCACAACAGGAATACACGCACAGAAGTATAAAGAAAAGAAAAAAATATTTAACATAATAAATCAATAGATATAATTATAGAAAAAAGAATAGAAGAACGAAATATATATAATTAATAAGATTAAGTAATAGTACTTTTCTTTTACAACTAAAGCTACACAGTTATGATGGCAGTACAAAATACTTATATGTAAATACATTCAATAAGGTGGTTGAATTTTTAAAATACTCATATTGCTGACATTGGATGTTTTCAAATTCTAACCAATCCATCCTGCTATGTCGTGCCCTATTCGCTAATCTTATTAAAAACTTATTATTTTTTCTCAACTTCATAGATTTATACCAACTCTTATCAGGGGATGTAGCAATTAAATATGCTGTCCAGGTGTTTTGATAACACAAAGCTTCTTCCGCTGTCTCTAAATGCAAATGAAATTTTCGCCAATAAGAATATAGATAATCACGAAGGGATTTTTCTTGACTAAGAGTTAATGTTGTAAAATCATCCCAACCCTGCAACGAGTAAACCAATCTAAGACCAGAACAATACACATGTTCAATTTGCTCCTTTTGTTTCTCGGTTAAAAAAAACCATATGCAGAAAACCCATAAAAAGTGTGGTAAAGCATATGCTAAAAAAATTTTTCGTCTCATTTTAATATCATTTTTTGGTATTCTATGAAAAGCAATCTTCATTCCATTATAAACTTTTCTTGCATTTTTCATTTTTTCTGATATATATAAACCCCAACCTAACTTTGTTGTAACAATAATTCCTAGATATTTGAATTTTCTCACATATTCAATCGGTTGAGATTTATATACTAATTTCGGGTATTTTGGTACAACTACACTGTGTACCAGTATTGCTTTCGTTTTTGCAACATTAACAGGTAAAATAGTATTTTCAGCAAATTTTTCAAGTTGTTTTAAAACTATACGTGCACGTTCTTCCAGTTCTATTATATTCATCGAAAATTTCTTTTCAAGCGAGCTGGTGATAACAAGAGCTAAGTCGTCTGCAAACAAATGGGTTACTATTTGAAAGAAAAAGGATGGTAGAAAATGAATATGTAATCTAAATAACGTAGCAGCAAGGACTGAACCCTGAGGTGCACCTACCAACATTCTAATATTTCTTGAAATAGCTTTACCAAAATGAATTGAGAAAGAACGATTTTGTAACCACAAAAAAATCCATCGAATTAAAGGTAAAGGCATTTCCAAATCATATAAATGAGTAATCAAGGCCGGAAACCACATACGATCGAAAGCAGATAAAAAATCTACGAAGATGACTAGCGCAGGACGATTACACGCAGCAACTGTTAACCTTAGATCTTCAATTAGCGAAAGGATTCTTGTTTGAAGTCGACGGTTTGGTGAAAATCCAGACTGCTCATCTGTATATATATTTTTTTGTCGACACCAATCAAGAATCCTATGATGTATTATCCTTTCGAACCATTTACCGATATTTGGTAATAAGGAAATCGGTCTTAATTTACCTAAGGCAGGATACATGCCATCTTTTGATAGACAGACAACCTTCGCATGCTTACTTGCCTCAAAAAACGTTCCTTTTTTGGCGCACCTATCAAAAAGAATTGTAATAATTTCCAAATATTTCAAGGGAAGTTTTTTAAGTAGAAAAGCAGACGTATCTATACTATCTGTTGCTTTCTTTGGCAAAAATTTTTTCCATTCTTTTATAACCTCTTCGTATGTAATTTGTTCAAGTGGTATATTAGGTGTATAAGCAATTTGTGTGTAGATTGCTAAATATCTTCTATGACAAGCATTAGATGGATCAAAATTTGGTTCAGAAAAATGTGTATCATAGAAATCACCTAATGTATTAACAACTACTTGAGGATCTCTCTCTTTTCCAGTTGATAATGATAAACCACGAAAGGCTGGAGTATAGGTATGAAAATGTGGTCGCGCAAATTTCCATATATTCTGACCTTCTCTCATCCACTCTAATCTCAACTTATTTCTTTCTTGTAAATATGATGCTCTTGCTGCGAGAAAAAGATCTTTAGCAATAATAAAATGTTTTAAATGTATTTGAGATTTTTCTCGCCTATATATTCTTCTCCTTCGATTCAAATTTCTAGCCATTTGAACAAGGTATGGCGGCCATGGTCTCCTATACGACTTAGCATCTTCATAAGTGCTACACCTATCCCACAGTGCAGCTATAAATTGAGAAAATAGAGAAAAAAAATTTTGTTCGTCGAAATTATATACAAGAGAAAGCCAGTACTCATATACACATTGAAGAAATAATATAAAAATATTCCAATTTGTTTTACGAAAAGAGGAGTTACTTGAAAACGAATAAAGAGATTGAAAAAAGACCGGGTAATGGTCCGATGTTCCTTCATCAAGTGTTTCACAATTCCATCCATTAGCATCATGAGTTATTCCAAAGTCAATTACAGCTTCTGAACGACGAGAAGTAGGTTTAGATGGAAAAATCATTTCAGTTCCTGTCTGTTCTAACCAAGATACAAGGTGATTTCCACTTACATTATTCGATATACAATTCCAACTAACATGCTTTGCATTAAAATCTCCAAATATAAAAAAAGGTTTATTGAAACATTGTGTAAAAAGATGAAAAGGAGGGAGAGATTCAGGGGGGATGTACACCACACCTAATAAAATTGGATTAGGGGTTAGTTGTATTTCTATCAATAGAAAATTTAAATCTCTTTTTACCATCTTACATTTTAACGCTTTATGATATAATATTGCTACTCCCCCATAAGAGTTGTCACCCTCTTGAGTTATCCACATATAGTTTGGATATATAGGTAATTTTCCTTTAATAGCTGATCCGATCCCAGTAAGAAGAAAAAAGTGTGGAGAATGGTCCGCCAAAAGAACATCCAAGTCAGCAATGTGAGTATTTAAACCTTGTACATTATAAAGAAGAAAAGTAAGGTTTTCATTTACTTCGTTCGGTCTTTCTTTTTTCCATTTTAATGACAAAGAAGAAATACTTTCACGTGTATTCCATTCACTTATAATTTTCAAGAGTAGATCTTTTTCATAGGGAGGGACAACAAATGAGTTTACAACATTTTCTGAGATATACGGCAAGGAATAACGAAATTCTTCACTAACCATTATGAATCACCATATTTTGAGGCATACACATTTCTTCAATTCGATTATTCATAATTAATGGAAGAATTTGAATATTTTGTAAATTATGTTGTTGATGAGAAGTATTGAAATTATGAATAAGAGATTGACATGTATTAATAAGTGAAGAAATAACTTCTTTTTGACCACCATTCTTTAATCCATCGTTGTTATTTATTACTTGTTGCACAACTGATAATGTTTCATTTACAGCTTTTGTAAATTGTTCCAACATATTCGCTTGTTGATGAATCAATTGAGTTGCAACTACGAGTATTTGTTGAAAATGTTTATTTTGTTGTTCAAGTTTTTCTTTAACTTCTGCATCTTTCTTCTCCATCTCCATCTTTAAACGTTCACATTCACTACTAGTCTTTTTTATTTCATCCAACATCTGTATGTTATTCATATTGTTGTTTGTGATAGATGTTTGAGATAAATGTCTATAAGGCATTTGACCTTTAGGTTGTGGAAGAGAATTCCACCCTTCAGAATTATAGACATACGGTTGATCACGTATTAAGTTTTTTTCAAAATGTGATCGGTTGGTTATCATTCTCGATACTTGTCCACCTCGTTGTCTACATTCTGAAGGTACAAACAATTGAACATTTGGTGGTAATAATTCAGGATGTTGTTTCAATTTTAAAACTAATTTTTTTCGATATTCAGCAATGTACGGGCATTTATAATCATTTGCCATATGATCATTTGATTCACATCGATGACAATGAATTCGACAATCTTTATGTTCACCTATCCATCTATCCTGGCCACACCGCCGACAAGCATCATACTGAAATTTGCAATTTTTTCGGATGTGGCCAGGATCGTTGCACTTAGAACATATCAGTAATCGAGGTGGTGCAAGAAATTCACTTACTTCTATAAGTTGACCATGTAATGTAAGTACACCTTCATTAATTATTTTATCATATTGATGTTTATCTTTCAAATCCATACGAATATGTCTAGATTGTTCTTTTCTAGTTCCGTTCATTTCTTCCAATTTAAATAATGAGGGATAAATACTTTTAATATCATCAAGTATATCATTATAAGATATTGAATTGGATACCGATTTAAGTAAAACCGAATACTGAGGAGGTAAATGTTTCGGTATTTCAGGTGAAATATTAATTGAATGAAGTGATGATGGATAATGTTCAATATCACATAAATAGACATATAGTTCAGGTTCACGTGTAAAACAAACTAAATTTCCTTGTTTATCTACAAACCAGTACTCGAATCCTAAAGAATGTTTATACATCTTGTTGACTTGACGAAAATCTTTTTCAATATGTAAGAACAATTGTTTAATTAATAAGACTCCTTGACTATGATTATTAATTCTTGGCTCGCAATTAATTTTGATTGGTGGAAGCTGTTGCTCTACAGCATAATGAAGAGCATGTAACGAAATTTCTTGATCATAATAATTTACATTTATTTCATCATTTTGTTTTTGTTGTTGATTTAATTTATTTTGTCGTTCTATATCACCTACGGAATTTTCCTTTTGTGTTCTTTCTTTACCAATAAAAACAAGAGAACGTTGTACTGATGAGTCATGTGTACCACTAACGTTTTTTTTTCTTCTTTTTGTACCACCTGGAGTTTGATCATTTTGATTTAATTTAATTGAACAATTATCTTCATTTTGTGTTGTCAAAAAATGTAAATCATTTTCATCTTCACTGTTTGATACTTGTCTCTTCGTTGACATTGATTTTTGTTTCAGCTGATTATTTTTTTCAATCAGCCCTTCATGACTGCACAGTTTATCACGTCCAGCAGCACTAATGTTTCGATACATTAGTAAATAAATTTTGTACTTGAATTTGTAATCAATAAAGACAGTCAATATAATAAATGAATAATAAATAACAACAATACGATAATAATTTAATTATATAATTACGTAATTACGTAATTGAAGAAAATCATTTAGCACGTGTACATATACGAAGTAGTGTGTGTACAAAAGAGAAAAGAAAAAGAATATGCGTCTTACTCTTACGTGCAAAGGAGGAGGAATGACAAGGGTCGAAACTTTCTGATCACCCTTTAGTATCATGCTTTAGAAATGAATGTTGCATTCTAAACAAACAAGAATGAAAGTATACCCTATTAGATTGATAGAATCGAACTTCATATTCCACTTTATTTATTTTTTACAATTAAATGTTGAAAAATGAGAAAAATAATCAGTTCATCATGTTGAAGTGGTAGAGTGTATTCGTACACGAAACCAGCACCGTGGTCGTACTTTACAAATCCATATGAAAAATTCAATGACAACAAGAACGAATCCTGCAAAGACAACGACTGTGATCACTAAGTTGGGCACCAACTTCTGCCTGGTAAAAGTATTGCGAACAGAACTAATATCTGCTCTATATTTAAGTGGTCATTGTCTAGGATCAGTCGGATCAATAAAGCACGCATAGGTGCTGTTTATCTAAACAGATAGAAAAAACGTGAATTAAATTGATATTAATGATATTTTCACGTCTATACAAACCACATCTGGTTTAAGCGATACAGGTACCAACCATTCTTCAAATTGGTGCGTGGTTCGATTTCCATTTAAACTAACTTCGAAAGAAATGAGAAACGTAGTATTGATAAAAATCAATAAGGAATTTTTGTATTGTTATGGACGTGATATAACTTTGTCGATATGGCAAGTTGTGCTCAAAGAAAACTTTTGTGCATCAAGTTCAGAATGTCGATATGTCGAATATTCTCTCGTTAAAACGGCAACAGAGGTGAATAAAATCAAAGGAAGACTAATCAGGCACATGAAAGATGAATTATCCCCAACGTTTCTTTTGAAACGCAACAGGACGATGTCATTTCTATAGAATTAAATGCAGACTGACTATGTTGAAAGATTTCTTTTCTTTGTAGAAGAAAATGACAGAAAGAATGGATAAAAATCAAACGAGATATCCAATCGATTCGTCTTCTAAATATATACAACCGCTTTTTCTTAGCAGCAACGGCGATCCCATGAGAAGCAGAATTTTTTGACCTTAGATCACTCGAAGCATATTTCTTATCTTGAGAGGTCATCGTATAGAACGTATTGATTGTTTATAGAGTATCGTCAAATAACTTTTCCCTTGGTGATTTCGACATAGTCTGAAGAGGTCAACATATTTAGTTCTATCCAATGAAGAAACCATCACTCGTCATTCACGTTATCTAATAACATCAAATGAGCCATAGCTTCATTTACATCAATAATTCAGCATCAGGGTGCCGTTATGTTATATTCTTTGTCAAAGACTATCGTTACTTTTCTCATCAGCTAATAGAACGTCATATAGTATTAATTTTAATGTTGCTCGTATAATTCAATTATTGATGTTCGCTGTACTTTTATATTAATGGTTGCTCTCGAACTCATTTCAAATGCTTTATACTCCCTTACTCCTTATAGGTCTTTTGCTGAAGAGAAACGAGAAACTATCATAGTTTATCGAAAGTAACAGAGCTGGTTGTCTTTTTTAATGATCTACAGAACACAAAACATCAAACATACATGAAAAGAGATAAGTGGTTCATATTGAAATATGTCTATCGTCTATCGGTTTCGATATCAAAACGGATTCAATTTCATGGTCAGAATACCTTTCGAAGACATTCTTGTTTTATTATTTAAGTAATATGTAACCACCAAAAAAGATGTTTTATGACTTCATATTTTTATTCATTTCGATGTAAGTGTGGTTGTGGGTATCGGTGAAGAGCACAATAACGTCTGCAATCCCACACCCAATCAATTTTATCTTTATGTAAATGATGAATCGATTTGTATATTTCTCTTTGTGAAGGATATGGATGCAAGTGTTTTATGTACAGATTCTCTTCTCAACCATATTCATATCCTCGCATGTATTCAGAGAAATACAATAAATCCCTGATTCATTAAATAGTAGTAAATTTAGTTGTAAACAGTTAACTAATTGTTCACATAAGTGGATTCATAACGTGAATGAAAATCATTTAACAAACTTGTGATAGTTAAAAGCGATTATCATATTTACAATATTTTGTTCAAATATTCAAATACTATTTAGATAGCTGTTTATTTTTATAATAATTCTGACTCTTAAATAATTTAGATGCATATCACATTTGTTGATGATGTTTTTGTCTTACAACAATTGATTTATGTCAATGAACGTACTAGTACTGCATCGAAAGAAGTGTTTAATGTATATCAAGATGGAACAGTATATGTAACAAAAATTAGGATTGAGTACTGTTTGTTATCTATCGTTGTACTTCTATATGAGTACGTTTCTAGTCTGTCTTTTAATAGGATGAGTTTCGTTTTGAAAACAAAAACGAATTCTTACATGCACTATAAATTATTATTGTTAAAGACAAATTGAGTTATAAATGTCTTTCTATGTTAGAGAAACATCGATTAAATGACCATGTCTAGCGATACAGTACGAAATGTTTGTCAATTATTGAATGAACTTTTTTTAGTAGTTTGCTTTTCATTGGACAAAGATGAACACTAACTTGGTCACACAGCGCGAATGTAGATATACATGATAAGGACAAGCATTAATACCACTATCACCCACACATTCTTTCCACGGATGAAAGAAAATGCGAAAAGAGGAGAGAGAAAGAAAAATGATTGCTTGACCTCCGCATAGAAGACTGGATAACACATACTAGAATGAAGACGCGCGCACACACAACATAAATGAGCAACATAAGAAAATGTGTTGTTAGAGTACTCTCTGACAAGTAAAAATAATGAAGTATCTTATGTCATCATCATTAGAGTTGGATAGTATCGTCGTAAGCGTATAAGGCAGTCTATTTATGTGAAAATGGCGAAATTTAGGCAGATGTTTATGCAAAATGGGAACGAATGAATCATCTGTCACTGTGTTTCGATCGTCAAGAAATCTGTTAATCGAAAAATAAATGAGATTCGGTACAAGAGAAAGTAATAAATCGATCGATTGAGAGTTTAATAAACGAAGGTATTGAAAGTATAAATCTAATCGACGAAGACATTGATGAGGTGCACAATCAAATGAACTAATCATGCACTTGTGAATTGTAAATTTGATGCAGAATTGAACAAGAGATAGACACGATTGAAATATTTGGGTGTAGACTAGTATATCATCTGTAGAAATACACAGTGAACGAAGAGATGAAACAATACTTCATTTATAATCCTTATTTAATTTAACTTGACCAAGTTGGCAAGTGCGAAGATAAGAAAAATAATTGGCGAAAACAAAGATAGACAATGAATTCTGAGCTGCAACAATCATTGAAGAATCATTGGTAACGCACAAATGTTCAAGATGAGAAAGTCCCAAAATCGAATGGGATAAACCATAATCTGGTTCTCTGGACAATCGAAGTGAACGAATAGCATGAAACGAAGACAAATCAATGGGATCTTCGTAATCAACATCCAACATGGTTATACGAGAAGCAAAGAAACGAAATGCAGACAATGGAGCATCTTTATTCGATGTTAATTTGTCCCAGAGATTGATAAGAGAAGTGAGAATCGATGTAAATCGAATATTAAGAGCATAAAAGTCGTTGTACAACTCTTGAACAGATAAATATTCGAAAATTTCAATAAGAAGTTCGTTCGAAAAGTGTTTGAGCATTGAGATCGACGATATATATAGTCACTCATTGTGTTCTTCAAATCAATTTAGCTCGTTCTAAAAGAACAAAACAACTCATCAGAATCAAGTTTGACATATAACGATACAAACGGAAAAACTGATGGTTATTCTTTCGTTGATATCTTCTCTTGTCATGTCAACTGATGTATTACTAGCGAAGCGCAAAATTGCCATGTCAGAGAAAAAGATATCAAACACAAAGAAGATGGATTATTCAACGATTACGCTCAACTACAACGAAGACGACAGAGGGTACTGTCAAAAATATTCAAACGTGATCTCTAGTCACTTGTAGGATAGACACAATTTTATACGGTACAGATTGAAAACGATTAGATTTGGCATTTGCCAAATGTCAAAGTGTGCCAAAAATTTGCCAAACGATCCTGTCAGATAAGGTTGACCCCCTAGCCATGAGAAACCGACTACATGATTTTACGAAGATTTTTTTCTGCGTCGATTGGTATATAAATGAAGCTCACCAAGTTCATTTTTTAATGAAATTGCTCAAACATACTTGTTTTTGGCCATTACACATCTTTATACGCTCTTATTTCAATGTAGCGTTAGAACAAATGAGAAAAAAGTATAAGAAAAATTTTCTTGTCTATATAGTTTTGCAGAGAGCAATGTGCCCTACGGAACCCTTGAATAGAAACCTTCAATGGGAACAGTTTCAGTGACTATCAGAATTGAATTTGGGATGTGGGTGTAGGTAATGGTACGGGTGAGTGTTTGGTATGAGTGTTTTCCTCACCAGAGCTAGTACAAGTACAGCAAGTAAAATACTTTTACTTGTACTTTTACGCCATGTACAAATATAAAATATGGTCTGTAATGGTGACTATGTTAATAAACTCTGTAGGATAATTGTAGCACCATCTGCTAACAAGTTAGATGGAAATAAAATGTTAATTCAACTCTTTTCTTGCGTATGTTAGTGGAGTGACTACAGAGTTCTTGTAAAAACCATCTTCTGTTATCTTTTGGGCTTCTGTGAAATGAAAAATGAGATGCATAAATGATGATATTCATT